CCCATGCTTGATCAAGGTTAAAAGCCTTTAAAGATGCCCTGGTATTTTCGTTAACACATTAGGTTTAATAACAAGCAATAAAACCACATACTGGGTACTATTAAGCAATTGTATTATTTATCTAAAGGAACACTATCTTGCAGTTATTAGAAATGGAACCTTATAAATTTGCTATTTAACAGGTAACCATGAGTAGTCATCTTTTTAATCTATCAAACTCCTAAAGCATAAGCACCTTTTAATTTTAAAGTAACATAATTAAGTAGAGATTAATTACCAAAAAACTTTTTTAGTGTGGTACGTTTGCTATGGATTTTCTTTTATTCCTTCCCTCTAGTATTCTAGGGGATGAAGTTATGGGAATCTGGTCCCGACACACTGAGAAAGCCAATGTCAACTGTGCCTGCGTATCTCATTCAGGAATCAGCCTTGTAACAGGAGATGACTTCGGCATGGTTAAGTTATTTGACTTCCCGTGTCCTGAAAAATTTGTAAGTTTGTGTCTGGTTTTGCTTTTTAGGTAATTTTACTAGCAATTTAGACATCTGATCATTACTACTTCTTCCCCCATAATTTAATAGCTAAATATGTTACCATCTCCTGATTTGGAAACACTTATGTTCCTAAAATTTTTTTCAAAACTTACTAAATCCCTTACTCTGAAGTAAGCTTTTAGAAATCATCTCCCCATGCCCCCAAGTAACACCATCTTTGCAAACTATCCTAATAAAACTGTGATTAGCCTTTTTATCAAACCTTTACTCAGTTACGACGTTTCAAATGCTTTTCCTCAGAGGAAAATGTTCAGAGTACTGCCCCAAGAACCTGGTTTGTGTTAGGTGCAGATCCATTAGCTAACATTAGTAACACTGGCTGTGGTCCAAACTGCCTACCTCTCTTCACAGCCCCTGTGATGGAGATCTAGGGTTCCTGATAGGAACCTCTGATTTTTGTGTGCCTCACATAACATCCTGAGCTTTGTTTTTCATTGTTTTTCAGGCAAAGCACAAAAGGTTCTTGGGTCATTCACCTCATGTGACAAATATTCGATTTACCAGCGGTGATCGACATGTCGTTAGTGCCGGAGGTGATGACTGCAGGTGGGTGACTTTCTCAGCCCAAGAAGAGCAGACTACCTCTTACTAGTTATTAAGAGATCTAGTATCACTATATTAGATCACAGACTCTGTGAGTCAACAACAGAGTAAGGCAGCATAACTGGCTGGCTCCGTGGCGGCACATAAGGTGGCAGTACAAAATAAAAGGAGTTGATGAAAAATTTTATACATTTGATTTTGAAAGCTCATTAAGCTTCTGAAAATCTAGAAAAATAATAAACTCACTGCTTTTTTTTTTCTCTGATTGCAGTTTATTTGTCTGGAAATGTGTACATATGCCTCACTGAGAGATATGGGTGCTGAGAAGAGACCAGAATTACAGAAGAGGAAAAACTAACAACAACAAAACAGAAACAGAACCAAACCTTGCATGGGCAAGTGGTGCTAACTTAGGATTGTTCACAGGGATAAATGCCCAGAGTCATCCAAACAGAAGACAGATAAGTTCAAAATATTTGTTGTGTGCACTGGATAACTGTCCATAATCCATACACTGCCAGACAATTACCTTAAGAAAGGATTGAATGAATACTCGCTGAAAGCCAGCCCCCCAGTTTGGGGGAGTGTGCAAACTTGGCAGACCTGCTAGGAAGGCTTAGGGGACAGCGCCTCTCAAAAAACGAAACCTTAAAAACCCAAGTTGCTTAATTTTCATCCTCTCTTTAGCAAAACTGTTTTTCTTTTTTAGAATTTGTATTTTATTTTCAAGGTTCATTATTTAATGACTTATTTTATCCTTGTCTTTACATAAGGAAAGGAAACACACCATCACCTTAGAGGATCACAGTTTTTAAAAGGCAAACATTATTTTCCCTAAGGAAACACACACATAAGCTTTACTGGAGAAGATAATGCTACTTAAGCATCAATAAACGTCTTTTTATAAAGGACATTTTTTTTTCCTGGCAGTTTTACATTCAGGAACAAATCCAAAGTTAGTAATATATGATCACTACATTTTCATTTTTGAGCTGTCGATCCTTTTCTGTTCGGAAGTCATCTCTATAGCTGAAAAATTAAAACATTGATTATAGCCTCATTAATGAAAAAGTAGTATGACGAACAGTCCTTTTCAGTGGTGTACAGGTTAAAGTTCTAGACAGCAGTAGTAGTTAACTGGGAGAGCATACCGAATATTTAAAGATGTAGTGTAATAGAAACACTTGTTTAACATGTAGACCGAAGTGTTCAAGGTCACATTTACAAAGTCAAACAATTTAGTAAGCTCTTGAAATAAAATTTTTATAGCTTTTTTCTCTACTGGAAAATTTATTAGATGTATGCCACCCCATAGGCTGACCTCCAAAAGGAATGAATACAGGTCCACTTGTAAAGCTTGTCCATTAAAATTCCTTTTTGGTGGATTAGGGCTTAACTCTTAGATATTTATCCCTATTCACTTTAAAGCTGCCAAAGATCAGTACTTGCCGTTCAGGAATTTGCTGTTTAGCCTGTCCGTAGTTTCCTGAAGATGGGAGATTATGTAGATTGCTATTTAAAAATATATTTTTCTAAGTGTGAAAAAGTTTAAGATGCTCTATTGGTCCTATGAATTTTATTTTAATGTGTTAATTATCTTTGTAGCATAATAGACCCCTTCAGGTTTCTGGAAATCTCAGTCTGGTTTGACCAGACATGAAGATTCTTGATACCTATTTTGTATGCCCAACACCTTGTAAATACTGAAAACAGAACTGTAGGCTGAACTGTATCACAAAAAGCCTAACCAGTGATTGAACATGGTCAGTTTTAAAGCTCTGAACAGTAGCTGTGTCTGAAGGACTGATTAAGGCATTAAGAAGCTTGAAACGTAAGATCATATTCACATCAATGGATTCTCCTAAATTAAGCCCAATTTTAGACTATACTAATACTAAATTTCTGTCCATGTATATTATTATAAAGAGCCATTCAATAAATTAAAGAAATTCCCCTGAACAATCCCCACTCGCCCCCTCCATCTTTGAGCCTGTTCAAATTTTCCTTCTGAGTCAAAGCTTCCCAGCTTTTGACTAAAGAGAAATTCCATTTCTATTACAGTACATGTAGAAACGCTAATTATAACCTTAGCTAAACGATTTAGGACAAAAATGCCCCCGCTGCATTTTTGTTCCTCCAAGTGGCCGGCCTGATAAGCCAGCTTTAATGACTGTCAGTTTCACAACTAAAACTCATGTTGATTTTTAGTTCTCCCACCACCACCTTGTTTATTCCAGCCAAGGGAAGGTGAATAACCACGACAGGTTATGAAGATTCTGCCCTGTATTGTTTTAACCCAGAGAATTACTTTTGTGTGCAGTATTTGACTAAGCTCCTCAATTTGTCATGAGATTTCTGGCCCCTTCAGTCCCGTTTCCGTACATAAGCGCACGCCAGAGCACACTGCATCTGCCGCCCCTGCCACTAGCCACCTTGTTCCCTCCCTTGTTGCGATGCCTTTTGATGGTGGTTCATTTTAAACATTTGTTGGACAATTTGGTCTAGAGTCAACCTTAGCTTGCCTGTAAAACACAGCAGCTGAAAGGTAACATTAAACCCTTAAAGGGGTTTCCAGGCACTGTTTATTAAATGGCAAACACTATCCGATTTTAGCACGTTCTTGACTTGTAAAATGCCTGAACCAAACCACTCAGGCCCTGTTTCCCGTAGTGGAATTCTGAATGCCATTTATAAATTGTGATACTAAAAGTCTGTTTAGATTTCTAGAAATACAACTTAAGATGCTTTACATCTTTGCAGAAGAAATCTAAGCACTGGAATGAACAAACGCCTTAAATTCAGGAGTCTTGTCACCGCAGCCCAACTCGGTGAGAACTTGGTGCCATCCTGGGCACGGTCTTTCCTCTTCCGTGGTCCGTGGTTTCAAGGTTCTTCTTAGGAATCGGCACAGCGAAGTGCAACTTACAGATGGTTTAATAACTGGTTAATTCTTTCTTCTCCCAATGGAAAAGCAATGGCCACAAAACGACTGCTGGTTTTATGCTCTTAAACATGGACTTTTACACATGCTGTTTTGTTATCCCTCGGGTATATAACTAGTCAATGAACTTTTTTTTTTTTTTTTTTTTACAGTTAATTTGGTCCTGAGAATGTTTGAGTCTTTATCTCTTTTGCATTAATTCGATCTGTTCTAACCAACTTTTAGCTTTATTTTTTTTAAAATTGCTGTACATCAAGTCTTTAAGATCAGTGATCCGTTGGTTATTTAATTCTAAAACATCTGACACTTCTTGCCTTAACTATTTCAAAAACCACACACAGAAGACTGTGTACTGATTCAGTAGTCCGAAAGGTTAGTCCTGTTTTGCAGTTTACCCATCTGATTTCTGTAATTAGTCATTTAAAATATACTATTTAAATCTAATTTTTACATTTAAAAAATTTTCTGTGGTTATTTCTGAAAATGTTACTTTTTCAGAATGTGAGAATATATGTATAATCTTGTGAGTTTGGTTTGTTTTCTGATACCTTCTGTATATATCACTGTAAAAAAACTTTTGTATAATTTTGTGATAATGCAGCCCCAAAATATTTATTTAAAAAGTGTATGTTAATAGTAAATGAAAGCGTTTTAAGGAACTGTTCATTGTTTTTTGCATTTGCCATTCTGTTTTTACCCGACCCATCCTATCCCAGAAGGTAAGAACCATCTAACCAAAGCAGCACTCAACCCAAGAAGTCTGTGTTATCATGCTTTTCAAACTAAATTTACTTAAAAGCAGGACTGAATGGCTCTTTTAAGCTGTCTCCACACTTTCGGCCATTCCTCTGTTTAATCCTTGGGAAAAGTGAACAAAATCCAACTTTTTAGGGTAAGGATGCCCCTCTCACTGAACACACAGCAACACTGAAGCCCCAGCGCTGACACTAACCTGAAACAGCAGTGTACAAACACGCCTCCAATGCTTTAATAGAATTTAGCTTTTCCTTCAACGGTCTTTTCATAGTCAAACAACAAAAAATACCCAATGTTAAAACCACTTAATAAACTTACAAACTTGAAAAATTAGACACTTCAGATAGATAGGCAATAAACTTCGTATAATGAAAGCAGTATATTCCAAGTTTCAAAGGTTTGACAAGTTCTGCAGAATATTTTTGCCAGTAGATGGAAACTCCACAATCTTCTGCCAAGTAGGACTGTCATTCACTGAGTAAACAAAAAATTTTAATTAGCTGCTTTACGTTCATACATACCCAGCTAAGGAGTATTTTCACACAACGAATTATAAGTATCAGATTTGTAAATAATTATATACAAACTACATAAAAGATAATAATGACATGTATTTAAATTTATAGGCCACACTAAAACTTTCTTCCAGTGTTTTACATTAGTAATGCCAAGAAAACTGATGTGAGATTTGTAAGCAGTATATACGCAGAAGGTAAATCTGATTTGGAGATATCTTGGTGAATAAGCAATCACTGGTAAAACGAAATTTGGGAACATTTTCCAAGGACCATGTATAACTGAAACAGTAGAGAAAAATCAAAGTGATCATCTCCCCCAAGTCTTTACCTGGTTTGAGGTCGAATCCATTTCAAGGCATGTCGTGGTGGCACAGTAATGGTGGGATGATAAAATGTGCAGTCAGGTCTTGTACACTGAGTATTAAATCTGCAGTGCTAAATACAAACAACAGTCTCAACATTTGCAAAGCTAATACAAATAAAAAGGCAATTTGAAACATTTAATGGGGCAAGAGATACAATCTAACAATGTTTTAACACTGAAACCTTGACAAATGACACCCCCCGCCCCCGACACAAAATTCTAGTCAAAGATTTCAAAAGGAACCTCAGTATACAGTACCAACTTCTAATCACCCTGCTTATCAGCCCAACATCCCCTCTATCAATCATGCCCCGGACACCCTCATTTATGCCCAACTGCAGTTGGGGGGGGGTGGGGAGTGACAGCCAGAGAGATCATTCACTCTGAGCAACTCAACAGGTGGAGACACATCCATCTTTATAGCACACAGAAAATTAAAACCATTAGCACAAGTACAACTGGACTTCATCATCTCTGTTTCTGACACGAGGTGGGGGGAAAAAACCCCACCCACATGCTTAGCCGCAGAGAGGAATGGAAACTAAGCAAAGGGAAGCTTCACTCAGCCTAGAACATTAACCTCTGGTTCAGACCACTAACCCTCAAGGACCAGATGGGAGCTCCTACAGCTAAGAACCTCAAGGTCTTAAAGACCAGAACATTAACAAAAAGAGATTGGGGGGGGAGGGTAGGCAAGGGAAGACCATGGACACACAAGATACTCAATTTGCTAGTGCTCTTCCAGGCCTCAGAATTGAAAAGTTATCACTAAATCTTTTTTGGGAAAATGAAAATTCTTACTTTTGGATGATAGAAGGGACATTCCATTTTCTTACAAGCAGGGAAATAACGGCACAGCTGACTACTAGAAGGTGAGGCTGGTGTTGCAACTGCTGACAAATATAAGAGCAAAGATTTATCAAATTCAGCAAAATCATCTGTAATGCAATCTACTGATGTTTTTATGAAACCCATTTTAAAAATATGAGATTTATATATTCATTAGATAAAATACTTCAGAATGATACTAAATAGGCACACCTCTTTAAAGACTGGTTAGGTTAACTGATTCTAGCATGATAATTTCTAAGACTATTCCCTTTTAAACTCAGTTGATAATCACAAAATGTCATTTTCCATTTTTTACCTACTGTAGTAGTGCACAACGTCACTAACCTGGTTTTGGAGGCAGTACTGGAATTCTTCTACTCATATGAGTGAAGGGACAATCTGGTTTAGTACATTTTGCATCATATTTACAATTTGGATGAACAAACAAACATTTTTCAGCAAATTTACAATTGGGGAAGGCTCTATAAAACAAAAACATTATTCACATTTAATTTCTCAATGCATTAGGTTTTGTTTTTTGTTTTTTTGTAGAGAGGCTCCTTATATTCCATTACTACTTTTTTGAGAAACGCAGAATAGAAAAAAGGGAAACTCAATTTTTTCTTAAACTATGCTTTATGCCCAATGTGGGGCTTGAACTCACAACCCAGAAATCAAGAGTCGCATGTTCTAACAACTGAGCCAGACAGATGCCCCGGGAAACTCAATTTTTAAATGAGGCCAGATCTGGGATGCCTGGGTGGCTCAGGCGGTTAAGCTTCTGCCTTCAGCTCAGGTCATGAACCCAGGGTCCCGGGATTGAGCCCCGAGTCGGGCTCCCTGCTCAGTGGGGAGTCTGCTTATCCCTCTCCCTCTGCCGTTCCCCGTTTGTGCTCTCTTTCTCAAATGAATACATTAAAAAAAAAAATGAGGCCAGATTTCAAAAAAGGACACAGTAGTCTATTCCGAAGCCTAAGGTAATGAGATTTTCAACTCAAGCCATGACCATGAGACACAAAAGGATTTTTTGTGTTAAGAATCATACCATTTCCTCTGTAAGATCTATGTTTGCAGTAATTTATGAACTTAATATACCGAGCATAATATATGTGCAAGGCACCACTCCAAAAAGACTCAAGTCTGTGGTCTCCCCCTCCAGGTACATCCATACTATTCTCACATCCAAATTTCTTAAGTCAAAACATGGAGATTCCACCTCTAGGACCAAAATATATATTTTTTTAAAATCTAAAAGCCACCTCTCAAAGATCATGCCATTGAACCAGCCAACTGGTAAGGAAAAATTACACCCAAGTCCAAAATGTTTTGTCACATTACCTGTAACTAATTGTGTCCCCAGTGCCTTGAAAGCTATGGATATGTACATGAATACAATGCATTCAAACCAGCGCAGTTATATAACCATCTCCTTAAATGTACAGAAGCCTTCTCCCATCTCCCCACTCCCTCAAACACACACACAAATATTACACAAGGCTGCTATTCTGGGAGGGCAATGGTTAAGTGTCACTGCATTTAGTTATACGAATCAAATTCATCCACAGAAATGAAAAACAAACAGAACCAGCTCTAAGGTCTAGAAATTAACCTGCAGATCAGAATCAGCTTGCTGCTGCTACTCACTTGCAAGGTGAAACAGGATGATGGTAAGCACACTCATCCCCATTTTTACAGGCAGGCCAGTACTTGCAACGCTCCAAAAGTTTTTCTGGTTTCTGGACCACACTCAGTTCACTCATCTCAGCTAAAAAGGGGAAAAAGTTAAAAGTATCTCATTTATTATGATCAATTCAGTATATGGCACCTTTAATACATTCCCTCAAAACCCAGTCTTAAAATCTTATGTTCTTCCATGTCTATGATCATACAAAATAAAGGAGTCTGACATTCTGGGTAACACAGGTAAGAGCCTGCCAGAAAAGGTCACCAGGAAGCACACTGCAGTTCCCATTGTGAAAAGCAAACCAGATAGGGATGCTGCAACTAGAGCCAAAGTTCTCACCCCAAACCCCTGCTCAATATTATTTCAGAGCTGAATTAAAATATGAGGGGGGTGGGGAAGGATGTCCAAGTAGGGAGCCAATAAAATGAAATGAAAACTGCAAACACAAAGGTGAAAAAGAATATGAACTGGGGCGCCTGGGTGGCTCAGTCAGTTAAGCATCCAACTTTGGCTCAGGTCATGAACCTGGGGTCCTGGGATCAAGCCTAGCAGGGAGTCGGCCTGAGGATTCTCTCTCCCTCTCCGTCTGCCCCTCCCCGTCCTCATGCTCTCTCAAATAAATAAATCTTAAAAAAAAAAAAAATGTGAACAAATTCTCACGTTCAGACATTATGAGCGGTTCATACACAAAAGTGTTCCCACTCACTGCGGTATATACAGTTCTAAGTCCAGGAGATAAACTCACATCAATGTGAGGAAAAGTTTCTTGCTTAAAATGGGTCACAAATGTCATTACCTCCAGGGGCCCACCAGATCACCCAGCAGTGAGCCTGGCTGGATGGAAGGTGATCGGTGACAGAAAGCCTTGGGGTAGGGAGAAAACAAAGGTGGGTAAGAGCAACCAGGAGGGCAAGTCCATGCACCATCCACACGGTTCACTGCCTACCTGCCACTCCCTCTCGGGGTCGTGTCCAATGACAATGTCAATTACTAGGGCGTGGGAAAGTGGGCCTGTGCTTCCAGATTGTCCCCGGATTCAGAGAAAGCCAAAAACCTTTTTGTATGACATACAAAGCTTAAATGCAGGCAACTAATGCCCATTTAAAATGTAAAAAGGCCAAAAATTCACACCCAAAGGTCATAATGACCTGACAACTTCTGGACCAAAACACCCTAGCTTTAAAAAAAAAAAAAAAAAAAAAGCATCATGGGTGTTACAAATTAGGGTTCACATTCGTAACTATAAAAGCAAACATCATTTCAACCCCACTGCTCTATTCCTCTTGCCTGAGATCAGGCAGTTCAAATTTGGCTCTGTAACTTAGCTGAACTAGACCCTCTGGACAAGTCTTACCTAGTACCTCAACTTCAGTTTCCTTATCTATGCAAGAAGAAAATAATGTCTTCCTTAGAGTTTTATGATTGAATGGAAACAAAAATACAAAGTAGGCGACCAATCAAAACCTAACAGTGCAGCAGCTGGTATTCTGAGAACTTATTGATCTAGTGACCCAACCTCAGTCTTCATTACAGGAGAACAAGGCACACAAATCCAGTCCTGGAGCCTAGACAGGAGGTCTATGAAAGGGCTACTCTAACACTATGCCAGGGGCGCCTGGGTGGCTCAGTCGTTAAGCGTCTGCCTTCGGCTCAGGTCATGATCCCAGGGTCCTGGGATCGAGCCCCACATCAGGCTCCCTGCTTAGTGGGGAGCCTGCTTCTGCTTCTGCCCCTCCCCTCCGCTCATGCTCTCTAATAAATAAAATCTTTAAAAAAGCCACAAAAAACCCACAAGTATGTCTGATATACAGTTTTCCATGCTACTTTTAAAATAGTAAAAGTCACTGTTTAGCTCCAGGATATAAAGGTATTCTTAGTCTCCAATAAAATCTTGCATGGCCAGAAAGAGCAGTTTTCTCCAATTTTAAGTGTGTCTAATATCCTGCCTGCAGGAAATGTGTCTTACCCTCCTCCTAAAGAACATACCTTAGACTATGGTATATACATGGGAACCCAGGCCAAATGAAAGAAGTTAACAGAATACCCAAGAACAGGTTGGCTGGAAAATGAAGTAGTTAGATACTCATGGGCAATATTAAATACAAGGAAACATCTTTCTAATGGAAATGTTGGGTCATATATACAAGAGGTCTCGATTCTGGTTTTCCCCAATGTTAACCTCATAAGCCATTAAAAATTTTCCTGTTTAAGATTAGGCAAATTCACTTTTTATCGCAAGCTATAAAACCTGTGGTGCCATTCCAGGGGTGGGGGAGGGCGGGGAGTGCTGTTGACAGCATCCTTGAAACACTGGACAAAAAGCCAGCAAAAGCAATCACCAAGTTTCAAATTCCTTGCTTGGAGGGGAAGAACAAGAAGGACCAGAGCCTCTCTGTGACTGTTACTCAGTCTCTCGGGCCTCAACTTACGTTCCAACTATTCCAAAGCTTCATCCTTGAGCAGCAGTGAACCAGTGAGAGTCCCAGACCAAAGCAACGGCACAGGAGGCCCACCGCTCATCTCCCTGGCCTCCAGAAGGGCCACGGCACTTGTGAAACCGAGGCAAGAAGTCTAACGTGTTCTTAGAGGGGCGCTGCTAGGACATATACACCAATAAAGCCTAACATGGACATCTACATTTAGACAAAATTAGACCCTTTTTCTCTCATTTGACACAAAATACACAGGAGGTTCAGGAAATCTGTACTGCATGACTATGGCAGTTCCTAACCATCTTTGTTACCATTTAAAATTTTTTCTTCCTTTTGATACAGACTTTCAATTCCCTCCACCAATCAAAACTAGGACATTATATTATTGACTGAGGCAAAAAAGCTTTCAGTTCAACAGTAGTATCTCCTCGCTCACTCATGATCTCCCTCTAAAAGCTATTATATTTTTAGCAACTGAAAAAGGTACTGAATACATCTTCATGTCTGCCAAGAGGATTAACTTGGAAAAATATCAAAACCCATTACTGTTTTTTCTTTGCTTTGCTATTCATTTTTAAGCTTCAATAATTGTCTCCCCTCCCAATAAAGGTGTTTCTAAACATCTTACAAGACAGAAGGAACACAACCACCATTCTCGTCACAAATGAAAACGTCCAGCAGTCTGTGCACCTGACACCGGGCCCAGAGAGAGAATAGCCAGTGATAACGATTCATCTGCCTAAAAGCAGGCTGTTATCTGAACAGAGTTCATCTTGCTCCTACTAAATACTATGCTTCAATATTTATTAATTTAAACATAAATTAGTTTGCTAAACTTCCCAGCAGTATCTTGATAAATTAGGTGAGAAACTCCTTTCAAGGGAATTTCACTGAGGTATAAACAGAATCAAAATCCAAATTCATTTTTCTGTCAAGTTAATTATAAGAGACTATTATTGTTACAACAAAGGGACAGTAACAAGTATAGCTTCTAAAGGAAAAAAGGAAACAAGGTAGCAAGAACGAAGGCTGATCCTTTCACAGGCATGGATAAGAGGTACTTTGGCTCTCAGGACTGAGCCCATGGCAGCCCGGGAGCGGTGCCCACTACGGATGGAACTCATTGTTTTGTCTCAGAGAAGAAAAGAGGCGGCTACTGAATTACGATTAAGAGCGAGGCCTCCAACCAGTATTCATTCCAGGTAGAGAGACCGGTCCCAGATTTCCTGCACAATGACAGCACCCTGGAAAGGGAAAATCTGAGCTCTCAACACACCATTTGAAAAGCTACCATTTGGGTCATCGAGCTGCCTGCTCATCAACTGCAAGTGCTGTGGGTGGAGGAGACCTCTGAGTCCCTTGTTTGAGGCTGCAGTTTGGTTTACAGGTTTCACTCCTTCAAAGCACATGTCCTCCTCTTGATCTGACATGTATCCTGGGGGGCTGGGGACACCATCCAGCGTCACTATAAACTTGGGACTTGCAGGTTTATCTGGTTGTACAAGATCTCTGCCAGACAGATAGAAAATACCATAGAATTAGGGAAACAAACACAAAACGCTGAGCCTCCTACAGTGCTCTTCAGCAGAACTATCGCTCCCTTACTTGGTGGTGGTCTCTTCAGTAGGAAAAAAACCAACCAAACAAACTCAGGAGGACTTCCAGGTACAGCCCTGGTGGCTTCCGCTATGACACCGCGGCCACAGCCAGTTGCTGTGGTGGCACAGCCAGCGACCCTCCACGCTGCACTAAGGACAATCTCCCCTCCACCCTGCACACCATTGTCCGTTTGATCTTCACAGGGTCACGTGGAAATAAACTGAAAAATCAGCATCTATGCTCAGAACACGTGGCCAGCAGTTCTATATTTACACTGATTATATTGTCTGTATGTTTGTTACTTTATAGAATATTTAGTCCATTTTCTAAGGGAGGAATCACCCCAACCTGATCTCTCTGTGCAGAGATTTCCTGATTTTGACCACCTGGCTTTTAAATTTCATTTCCCGGATGTGCTTAAAGGAAAGAAATCTTATTTACAGAGCTAAATCATACATGGACTTATTTGTAGGTTAACAGATTTCTGAACAAGAAAGATGAACTGTAATTTCTGAAAACTGAATTTGGCTTACTATTTATTCATGGCCTACCGACTGACTCAATAAACGCACTCTACACTGGGGGCTGGGATGGGGAAGAGGGAAGCTGGGAACTCACATTAACCTGCACTATCTAATCAACACAAAAAAGCTACACAAGAAAAAGAAACCATCTACCGTGTCTGCATAAGGTGTCCTGAAAGTACCCGAAGGGTATCTGCAGTCTTCATCCCCGACTCTTGGTTTGGTGCCACTACTATTTCCTCAGACAGCTTTGGCTTCTTCAGAATAAATGATCTTGTGTCTGCATGGACCATGGATTCCATGTCATAGTAATCTGAGCCAAAAAAATTGGCCATAAATGTTTACTTTTGAATATACCTTGCATTCCCAACATCACACACGTGAGAAGAATGTCAGTCTTTTATATATTTGTAATTTTTTCAAAGGAAAATCACAACGGTTCTACCCAGGAATAGCGCTGCAATTCTGTGCCAAACACCTTTTCAAGGAAGTATTCCTTTCCTTGTAACAGCCCATTATCTAGGGCTTCTAATCAATACTCCCTGCCTACAGTACAGAAAGGTTCTTATCTAGTGGGATATGAACAATACAAACTAACTCTAAAAGTATCATAATATCTTCTAAAATTATAAAGAAAAATCCTCATATTCCCTCGAACTATGATATGAAGGCTGCTTAAAAATTTTTCTAAAATGTTTTGTTCATTTTGCACAGTACCACTGAGAGAGAACACACCCTGATGAAAAGAATTCACCTGGCATAATTTCTGCCTGGTTGTACCAAGAAGACTATACTGGAAAAAAAAAATACAGCAAAGAAAACACTGACCGTCAGTGCAAATAACCACAGCTCATGCCATCTATAGTATGCTTAACCCTGACTACTTCATAAAATATGCCAAGAGCCCAGACTGGAGATGGTTGACCTATTGATATGCCATCAATTGACAAAAGTTGATGAGTTGCACTTCTCTTAAGGTTAACAGGCAAATAAGAGACCAAAATCTACAGGATGTACATTCATGCTCATTCAACTGAACAAACCAAAATCCTGAGAACTGAACACTGTGCTAGGTACACAAAGAAGAAAAAATAGAAAAATAGATGTACACACAATTTCAGAACAGCATACCCTAAAAGCTAATCCTAAAGGAGTAAGAACCAAGTTTTGGTAGAATACAGGAAACCTACTCCAGCTAGGAAATCCAGACAAAGCCTACAGACGATGGACATTTGAAGCAGATGTTAAAGGAAATGAGCAGGGATAACCAGGGTGGGGAGCAACGAGCTGGACAATAAACAGAGCGTGGAGGCAGAGGCTTTCATGAGACACAAGGAATCTAAGACCTGCTGAGAAACGTGGTGTGGATGGAGGGCTGGGTGCGGGGCGGGCTGAGTGGCAGGGAAGGCTGAGGCATAAAGGATCTTGTATGTGTCAATGAGTTTGGATTCTGATCTAGAAGTCATCAAGAATCAAGAGAGGTTTCTCAGGAGGGAAATGACATGATCAAACCGGCTTTTGGAAGAACAGGTAGTATGGAAGGCAGTCTTAGAGCTCAGTTACTAGGCTGTTGTCTAGTACACAGGAGACACAGTGAGGCTCCAAATTAAAAGATTCTCAATCTTTGTCCTATTTGAGCCCACACATGAGGGAGAGAAGACACACTGCACACACTTCAGCAGACCTGGCACCTCACAGCAGCTGCATGTTCAACTCCCATCCTAGGAACGAAGCAGAGCGGCCTTCTCCCACGAGGGCCGGAGAGGGTAAAGATGAAGATGCACGACAGCGAAAGGAGAGAAACTGGATCCAGGAAACAGAGAACAGGAGAAAGAGAGGACTGAAAAGGGGGCAGGATAAATTTCAATTTTAGATTTATTTAGTCTGAAGTCTTTGTGGGGCTCTCAGATGTTCAGAAGTTGAAATAAGAAGCGAGAGAAATAAGAGCAGCAGCATTCCAACTGAAGGTCAAAGCGGCACTGAATCAAAGCACACACGTTCAGCGCTGCCGTCTCTCGTGGGGAGCCTGAGCAGGAGACCTCCCTCCTCCATTACAGGAGACCCACAGGCAACTCGCTGTTCTTAGGCACTCACTGAGGGCTCCCACCTAGCAAAGGTAGAGTCCAGAACTTAGTCCAAGGCTGCTGCCTTTCTTCTCACCACCCAGCCCTTTTTGAGGCAAAGCAGTTCTACCAGTTTGCACCTTGGGAGAATATAAAAGAGATGAAAATTTATGCTAAGGGTAGGACACAGGATAAAATGAACATTTCGAGGGGTAGTATGGGAGGAGAGGAGGTGATAAAGGAGAATGACATGGAATTAGTAGAAGAACAGAGATCGTGAAGTCCTGGAAACCAAACAAAGACTTAAAAAAACATGGGAATGACGCGTCACACACTACAGAGTTTAGAAAAGTGAGCACTGAAAACAGAGCTTTTCATTCCACATAAGCCACTAGTCACTTCTACAAGGTTCACGGTATCACCTGGGTCAAAGAGGAGCGGACAGATGCGAGAGTTAGTGACATCTTCTGGGTACAGACTACCGGCTGAACCCATGCATTTGGTTTCCTCCTAAAACCCCACCAAAATGTCAACAAAGGGTTAATTCATTGAAACATAAACTCACAAAGAAAATAACTGTAAAAGGAGACATCCACATTTTTAAAGTGAAAAACTAAGATCTTCAAAAGCTGAGTCATAAGCCAATAATGAAACAATTCAATGTGGATCCCAAGATTCTCCAAAGGCTGGGTAACTGGCAGCACAGGGGACCTTGGGAAGAGGGGAAGACAAGGCCAATACAGGTGTGTTCAAGGTCCGTTCCAGAAGCAGTTATGTCTTCCTAAACTAGGAATTTGTTTTCTTCATTTCTGATTCCTATCACACTGTTCCCCTAACCTCTATATTCAAGTTTTTTGGAATAGCTGGAGACATGCTTTCCTGGTGGTCAATGCTGGAGTGGCCTATAAATGAAGCATCATCACTTTGACAGAACAGTGCTGCAAAAATATAAGCTAAATGTATACTATTAAAATTTTTAAAAGCATTTAGATTTCCTGATAACCCTTGACTATTTTTCCCTTGGAGAAGAGGGAAGCTTAAGACTCTTGGAAAGGTCAAAACAGAGAGTCTCTGGACCAAGGGATGCCAGCCACATTGAGAGAAGTATCATTCTGAGAACTGGGAGGGGGTGTTAAGCAAGCATCACATAGTAAATAAAGTTGAGGTGCGTCTCCCAGCCCCTTTTCCTCACTTAGCTCCCAGAACGCTGACAGCCAATCCATCCACTACTCTGAAAGATCTTTCTTTGGAGAAGCTAACCAGTCCAAGAGGAAAAGCCTAAAGACGGTGACCTCACGGTGCCCCTAAATCAGAGAGACAAATGACTCTTCACTGCAGGATCTATATTCAAATGTGAAGTCAAAAGCCCTCCACCCGGACTAATGAACCCAGAATGCCAATCAGCTTTTCGAGTGTCCCACTCATAAATATAAGACAACCAAGGATCCCCAGACATCTGAGGAAAACCTGTCAGAAAAGACAGCAACTGAAACAAACTTGGAGAAAATAAAACCAAGAAGGGAGGGGAAAAAATACCCAACACTATCTTTAATATCCTCAGACATTAGATATAGGTATCAGAAATAACAGAGTGTTGCATATATGAAACAAAGTCAGTACATGACAAATAAATAAAAAGGAATATGCGGAAACCAGAGGGCTCTCAGGAATAAAAACTGTGACAGGACATAAGCAAGGAATGCAGTCACTCATAAGCCTCGTAGAACTAGATGCTTCAAACTGTATGTGCACCATGGAAAAAAAAGAAACATTAAAAGAAACAAAAAAGAATGTGCAAGTGCCAATGAAGTGGATACAACATACACAGAGCTTAGCCGCCAGACATTTTGAAAGAAAATACCCTTATGTGGAAAGCAGGATGGAATGTGGAGAGAGGACAGGGCAAAATCAAGAATGGAGGGTATCTAAACACTTAGAGAGGAGAAGCCAGGAAAGAGGCCGAGACTAAAACTACAGGAGTGTGGGGGCACTCCAGGGTTCATCACCTGGGGAGGATCTGGCTTCTGGGTGGAAGGCAACCCTGCGAGAGCACAAGTTCCTCTCTCTGAGTCAGAGCTAGACGGGGTGAGGGAATATGCCTACTGACTGTGGAAGCCTGACCAAAGGGGAAGAAGAGCCACAGGGAGGGGTCAAGGCACCAGAGATTCCAACAACGGGCAGGTGTACGGTAAATAGAAGGAAACAGAAAAAAGACGGTTTCTGAACTGAAGATTGCAGGCGTCCAATGGCCCCCTTCATGCGGGCAGCATTTACTGGGGACTGTACATGCATGTGGCAGGGGCTGGGCACTGGAGAATGCAGAGATAAACAAGGCACTTGGCCCTGTCCTGAGGTAGCCCCTGGCTGATGTGTCTGTGCTGAGGGGGGGAAGGGGAACAGGCAAAAAATTAAGCTACGGGGTCTCTAAGAACAACAAGTTCTCGGTGTGGCCCTGGTGAAGAGATTCTAAAGTGAAATGAAAGTGAGGATAAGGTTGAACAGGCTACAGACAACAGAGCAGCTCAGGACACTGGAAAAGTAGGGTAGAAAGGAGAGCAGGGTAAGGATCTGAGTTGTCCCTAGAGGGGAGTGACAGCCAGAAGATTCCAGAGACTCAGGTGAAACGGCACCAAAGCAAGAAAGTTTTTGAATGAGACGAAAAATACAAACACCATACAACATGAAGAAAATGCAGATCTTGTCTCCTGGCCCTAAAATATTTTCACAATCTAAATACAGCATCTTAGGGCAGGATCTAAGATATACAAGATACATTAAATGAGGTGCAAGAAATGGAAATAGCAACTGAAAAATGCTAAATTACAATGAAAATTTAAGATTATTACCAACCTTGACTGATCTGTAGAGTTTCTGCCATTACTGGGTCAATTTGCAGTCGGGATAACAACTGCCTCTGTTGAGTTCCTAGAATAACAAATTTTAAAACTTTACTAAGCTTAAAGAACAAACAATACCAGCATGTATGTTTCCCAGAAATGAAGCCTGAAATAATCTTCCTGGGCTTTTAACTGAAAGTCTTAAAAATAACTGATTAGCTTCAACACTGCAATTTAATAATACTTATAGACCAAAAGTCTGAAGACAAAAATCTGTACTCCAAGTTAAACCAAAAATGGCACTGTAGGACATTTCCTAGTTCTCCCTTTGTCTGGAAGCCAGTTTTCTTGGACTGGAGGTAAAGCCTGGGAACAAAGGTAAAAGCTGGAAAAACCAGGAGGTGCTGCGAGGACCCAGAGCTTGAGCCGTAACTGACAGGCAACAGCCAAGTGCAAGATCAAAATAAGAAACCTCTCCCTCCATCACCTGGGCTCTCACCATTACAACTCACGCCACACCCCTAGAATTGCAAAATAAAACACAGCAGAGTTATCCGATCAAGAATTCCCAAAAGACAAACTATAAGCTTAGACTGATACAAAGAAAACAATGAACAAGTATGACATTCAAGAGATCTGGAGTCCAGATCCTACATCAGCATGAAAACAATCCTCTGGGTGGCTCAGTCGTTAAGCCTTCAGCTCAGGTCATGATCCCAGGGTCCTGGGATCGAGCCCCACATCGGGCTCCCCACTCTGCGGGAAGCCTGCTTCTCCCTCTCCTCTGCTGCTCCTTCTGCCTGTGCTTTATCACTCTCTGTCAAATAAATAAAATCTTTAAAAAAATCATCTGAATCTCCTATAAGAAAAAATACTCAGCTAGAGTATTTATGATTTCTTTAAAAAGTTCATAATTTCCTGTTACACTGCAAAATAAAAGCAGTGACAACTGATTTTCTCCATCTTCAATTTGAAGACTGGGAAGATGTCACACTTCTCCAAACCTCCCCCCCACTCCACAGTGCTTAGGCAATAGTAAGTACTCACTTGCAGATTTCTTTTAAGATTTTATTTACTTATTTGAGAGAGAGGGAGAGAGAGAGAGAGAACACAAGCAAGGAGAAGGGGCAAAGGGAGAGGGAGTAGACTCCCCGCTGAGCAGGGAACCCCATGCGGGACTTGATCCCAGGACCCTGGGATCATGACCTGAGCTGAAGGCAGACGCTCAACGACTGAGCCACCCAGGGGCCCCTCACTTGCTGATTTAAAACAAGTGTTATCAAAAACAAAATTAAGTATTATCACCAATGCATTAAAATAATTATTCACCATGATCAAGTGGCATTTATTCCAAGGATACAATGATAATTCAATATCCGCAAATCAATCAACATGGCACACCAAATTAACAAAATAAAAGGCGAAGTAGGAATCATGATTCTCTCGAGACATGCAGAAAAAGCATTTGACAAAATTCAACATCCATTTATGATAAAAACTCTCAACAAAGTGGGTTTAGAGGGAACATACCTCAACATAAGAAAGGCCACATATAACAAACCGACAGCTAACATCATACTCATCGTAAGATCAGAACAAGACAAGGACGCTCACTCTCGCCACCTCTGTTCCACACAGTAGCGGGCGTCCTAGTCACAGCAGTCAGACAAGAAATAAAAGGCACCCAAATTGGAAAGAAAATTAAGAAACAGAAAAAACAAACAGATGACATATTATATACACAAAACCCTAAAGACTCCACCAAAAAACTATTAGAAGAAATGAATTCAGTCAAGTTTCAGGACACATAATTAAGATACAGAAATCTATTATGTTTCTATACACTAATAACAAAGCAGCAGAAAGAGAAATTAAGAAAACAATCCCACTGATAGCTACACCAAAAAGAAAAAAATACCTAGAAATACATTTAACCAAGAAGGTGAAAGACCTGTACTCTGAAAACTATCAGATAAAAAAAACTGAAGAAGACACAAATAAATGGAAAGATACAACATGCTCATGGACTGGAAGAAATAATATTGTTAAAATGTGCATATTAAAACCAATTAACCTATGATAAAGAAGGCAACAGGGGCACCTGGCTGGCTAAGTAGGAGGAGCATGCAACTCTTGACCTCCAGGTTGTGGATTCAAGCCCCATGTTGGGTGTAAGGACTACTTAAAAAAATAAAAACTTAAAAAAAAAATGGCAAGGGGCACCTGGGTGGCTCAGTCGTTAAGCGTCTGCCTTCGGCTCAGGTCATGATCCCAGGGTGCTGGGATAGAGCCCCGCATCGGGCTCTCTGCTCCGCGGGAAACCTGCTTCTCCCTCCCCCCCCCTTGTGTTCCCTCTCTCGTGGTCTCGGTCAAAATGAATAAAAATAAAATCTTAAAAAATACAATGGCAAGAATCTACAGCAGGGGAGAGTCTCTTCAATAAATGGTGCTGAGAATATGGACAACTACATGAGAGAAAAAATTAAATTGGACCGCTTTCTCATACCATATGCAAAAATGAACTTAACTCAATGTAAAATGTAAGACCTGACATCATAAAACTCCTCAACAAAAATATAGGCAGTAAATTCTTGGCTATCCCTCTCAGCAATATTTCTTTGGATTTGTCTGTGTAGGCAGGCAAGAGCAACAAAAGCAACTGGGTCTACATCGAACTAAAAAATCTTTTGCACAGTGAAGGAAACCATCAATAAAATAAAAAGGCAACTTAGTGAACGGAGATATTTCCAAATGATATATCCAGTAAGGGATTAATATCCAAAATATATAAAGAACTCATAAAACACCAAAAACCCCCCAATCTGATTAAAAAATGGGCGGGGAGGGGCGCCTGGGTGGCTCAGTTGGTTAAGTGTCTGACTTTGGCTCAGGACAAGCTCTTCTTCAGGCTCTGCATTCAGCAGGGAGTCTGCTGATCCCTCCCCCTCCTCCACCTTGTGCCAGCGCACACTCTCTCTCAAAGAGATAAAATCTTTAAAAAAAAAAAAAAAAAGGCAGAGGACCTGAACAGACATTTTTTAAGATTTTTTTTATTTGAGAAGAGAGCAAGAGAGAGCACACATGCACAAGCAGGGGCAATAACAGAGGAGGAGAAGCACTGGAGCAGGGGAGGGAGGAGGAAAGCAACTCAAGCGGACTCCATGCTGAGCACAGAGCCTGACTTGGCGCTTGACCCTAGGACCCTGAGACTGTGACCTGAGCCAAAACCAAGAGTCGGACACTTAACTGAGTCACTCAAGTGCACCACTGACATTTTTTTAAAGAAGACATTGAGATGGCTAGCACTTTTAAAAAATGTTCAATATTTTTACTCATCAAAAAATGCAAATTAACGGTCCTGGGTGTCTCAATTAAGTGTCTGCCTTCAGCTCAGGTCATGATCTTGGAGTCCTGGGATTGAGCCCTAGGTGAGGCTTCCTGCTCAGTGGGAAGGCTCCCTTCCCCCTCTGGCTCTCCCCCAACTTGTGCTTGCTCTAATAAATACATAAATATTTTTTAAAATGCAAATTAAAACCAAAATGAGATATCACTTCACACCTGTCAGAAGGGCTAGTATCCAAAAGGCAAAAAATAACAAGTCTTGGCAAGGATGTGGAGAAAAGGGAACCCTCATGCCCTGTTGGTGGGAATGTAAGTTGGTGCAGCCACTGTGGAAAACAGTAAGGAGGTTCCTAAAAAAATTAAAAATAGAAATACTGGATCCTATGGTATTCAATAATTCCACTTCTGGGTATTTGCTCCAAGAAAATGAAAATACTAATTTGAAAAGATATATGCACCCTTGTTTACTATGGTATTACTTACAATAACCAAGATATGGAAGCAATCTCAGTGTGCACTGACAGATGAATGGATAAAGATATGATACACACACCTACATATACACCTACATATACACACACAAAGCAGTATTACTCAGCCATAAAAAAGAATGAAATCGTGCCATTTGCAACAACACAGATAGACTTAGAGGCAGGTTACTATGCTACCATGAAAAAAGAGAAAAACAAATACCATGTTATTTCCACTGATATGTTGAATCTAAAAAACAATACAAATGAACAAACACAACAAGACAGAAACAGACTCATAAATACAGAGAACTAGTGGCTGCAGCAGAGAGAAGCAAATAGGTAAACAGGACTAAGAGGAACAAACTTCCAGTTATAGTCAGTGATGTAAAGTACAGCAGGGGTAACACAGTCAATAACGTTTTAATAACTTTATATGGTGACAGACGGTTAACTCTACTTAATCCTGCTAAGAATTTCATAATGTGTATATAAGTATCGAATCACTATGCACACCGGAAACTAATATAATGTAGTACTGTCACCTACACTTCAATTAAAAATAAATAAACTTAAAAATGTAGGGGCGCTTCAGCACAGTCGGTTAAACGTCCAACTCTTGGTTTCGGCTCAAGTCATTATCTCGGGGTCATGAGCTCAAGCCCCACATCAGGCTCTGCACTCAGCACAGAGTCTGCTTGGGATTCTCTCTCCCTCTCCTCGTGTTCTCTTGCTCTCTAAAATAAATAAATCTTTAAAAATATTATTTTTTTAAAGATTTTATTTATCTGACAGAAAGAGACACAGTGAGAGAGGGAACACAAGCAGGGAGAGTGGGAGAGGGAAAAGCAGGCTTCCTGCCAAGCAGGGAGCCCGATGCAGGGCTCGATCCCAGGACCCCGGGACCATGACCTGAGCCGAAGGCAGACGCTTAACAACTGAGCCACCCAGGCGCGCCTAAAAAAATTTTTAAAAAGTGGTACAATACAGTGTAGAAAGGGATGTGATTGATAGGGTTCCAAATACTGAAATATTAGTAGGATGCCTGAATACTAATTTTTAGTATATTTATTACTAGTAGTTTCATAAGGACAGCCTTTGCTCACTCAGTACATTAGTTGGCAAGCAATTGCCATGTTTCATTAAAATGCGTTTTTCAATTTTCTTTTATTTTTTTTATTTTTAAGTAATCTCTACACCCAATGTGGGGCTCGAACATATGACCCCAAGATCTAGAGTCACATGCTTCACCGACTGAGCCAAGCAAGGTGTCTGG